TTAAAACTGGCCTTGATAGCTGTCCCAGCCCTCTGTTACAGCTTGTTCCTAAGGTCAGATCGGTCTCTTCTCTTTTTAAATTTTGGCAATTAGTAAAGACAATTTTCTGTTGAACATGTGGGACAGAGGTGGAACATACTGAGTTTGTGATCTCCTGGGAAAATTTTTGATTTTTTTAAAATCTAGTTTTGTGGTCCAAATCTGGTAGCTCTACTGAAGTTTTATCTTAGAAACAAAGGGCTGAGAAAAGAGTGAAAATCCACATGCCTTTTAACAAGAACTTTCTTGTTAAAATGGGTAAAATCCACCAAAAATACTATTATCTCCAAGAAAGAAAGAAATTTTATGACATAGGTACCAGTACTTGTGTGTATTTTTGTTACATTGAGCTCTTAAAAATGATTAAAGTATTAATCAATTTTAAAGCAAAAATAACCAAACATAAAATTTTATTGTAGACTATTTCTTTTTTCATTTTATTATTAAAGCTTGTGTTTTTATAAAGTTTTAACTGAAGAATCTTGACCAATCTAGATCGGATCTTGCAACATTACCCTGGGACATGTATATTTGCTTTTATTCTTAAAAATTTCTGTGGAATGGTCAACAAGAAGCCTGTTAATAAAGCATTTTTAAGAATTCGAACATATTAGGCATGACTGGGATGTGGATGAGAAATATACTAGAGCTGACAATTTGTGAAATATGACATGACTAGCATCCTCTTAGCATTTCCATGGCCTATCATGAGCTGACCTTTAGAACAGAGCAAGCTGATATGCATCAGATTGACATGTGGCTTGTTCTATCCCAATTCTAGGCTATATAAATAATCTCTGGATATGATTGGATTCACTGAAGCCAAATGTTTTTTCCCTTCTTTCTATAGATCTTGTATATTAAAATGAGCTTTATGCTTCTTAGCCTGCTATGACTGGACATTATTAAGCCTAGGTCTAATGGCATTCTCTTTCCCACAGCAGTTATTCAAGAACTTTTTTTCTGATTTCTTGCCATGTTGTGTGTACACAACTAATTATCAGACACTGCTTGATTTTAACTGCTTGGCTGTTAGGTAGAACCAACCAAGGACAATGTCAACTCCTACATGCTACAAAAGGTTTCTTAACAATCAAGACGCTGGTCCATCTAAAATTTGGGCTCTGATATGCATCTTTGGTTGCAGAAAGACAAATTATTATCTATCTCCTTTAAACATTCAAAATTGCCAATGAATGAACAATACAAGAAGCCCGTGACTTACAACCATGATTGAGCCCAAAATTTATATCACTAAGTAAGACATTTGTTAAGTGAGTTTTACCCTTTTACAACTTTTCTTTCTTGGTTAAGCAAATCATTGCAGTTGTTAAATTGGTAATACGGTTGTTAAGTGAATCTGGCTTCCCCACTGACTTTGCTTGTCAGAAAGTCGCAAAAGGAGATCTCATGACTCTGATCACATGAATTTGGGACACAGCAATGGTCATAAATATGAGTCAGTTGCCAAGTGTCTAAATTTGGATGATGTGACCATGGGCATGCTGAAATGGTCGTAAATGTGAAAAATGGTCATAACTCACTTCTTTCAGTACCATTGTAACTTCAAACAGTCACTAAATGAACTGTTGAAGTTGAGGACTGCCTGTATTGTGAAACATTTTACTAGGAAAGCCCCAATAGATGTTATTCTAGGGAGCTGGGTTTTTGCCACTTGGTAAAGATGGTTTTAATTTAACAAATATTTCTTACATCCTAAATATATTCTATTGTATTTGAAGCATTTTTAACTGGGGTCTCTGCTGATGTTCTTAAGTGTGATTTGAAATGCTATGAAATATAGGGCATACACACAAGAAAAATGAAACATTATTTTTATCAGGGTCTTTCCTCATCAGATGATTGGGCTATGGTGCATTTTAGACCTACCCAGTTGTCCTAAAGATGATTACAATCATCTTTCATAAAGAAATCAGAAAAGCAAAGTGCTATTGTATGAAGTTTAATTTTTATCATCTAAACAATATTGTATATTTCACATATAATCATACAGTTTGGGTAGAAAGATAAAACTAAGGATAGTATAAATCCTGAATTAGAAGCTTTTAGAAAGCACCCTTCAGATCACTATTGCTATAAACAGCGTACTTCATTTTACAGATCGAAACTCTGTTTACATTTGGCATTTTTTATAAGAAGGATGAAAAAAAATCTAATATAAAGCTGCCCTTTGCAGCTTATTAAAACAAAAACACTAATTAGTAAAACTTAAGAAATTGTGACTGCCTCAGACAGTGATCATTCAGTTATGATGATGATTAAAAAGGTGCTTTGATATCAATCTTCACATTTATAACCTTTGCAGTTATGTAAAGCAAAGAAAAGCTGAAGCAAGATCATCCAGTCATGGTTTCAATTAGCAACCACATTGCTGAATGATCAAGTTGCTGGCTCCAACTGTGGTTGTTAAATTAGGACAACCTATACACACAAATATACTTATACTTACAAATATATCTTAACTTCCTTCACAACCAGAGATAATTAAGTCAAATATAATTTTCTTTAGTTTAATTTAAATTCAGTTCATGTTTAATAAAAACGTATCTCATTTCTAGCTTCTGACTCGTTAATTGGGCTTCTTAAATGGAGAAAAGCAAACCTAGAACAAAGTCTGATTTGATATTATCATCTTCCTCAACAGGCAATAGCATCTCCTCAAGCACATCCAAGCCTTTGGAAGGAATTCAACCCAAAAGAGATAAAGTAATAAAGATTCTTACCTGGTTTAAGCCATAATATTTTGCAATGCCATCTACTAAATCTGACATCAGTTTTACTTCATGTGATTTCTTATCATTCATAAAATTATCGGTATTCATTTCTACCTCTGATCAAAAAGAAACACACATTTAGCTTAAGAGTTTTGGAGGAACCTGTATCACTAAAATATTGTTACATGTGTATGTTTTTTACAAACTATGGCTATGCCCCAGTAAATAAGTAGAAATGCTCAACCAATATTACAATATATTTGCTATGCAATGGTTTCTGCTTCTGACTTTCTGACAAAAGTTTCCAAAGATCTTAAATAATAATTGCAGGCTCACAAGTGTCATGTTTAAACTCTATTTGTAAGCCAGTCGAAACATAAAATTACATATCATCGCTTGATTTGCCTTTATATAGTAGAACAATCAGACAGATGTCAACTCATAGAAATACCATATTGCTCCTTTTGTCCTGTGTAAACGAAGGTCATTGCAAAGATAGGAAGAAAATAGGAGTCAAATGAGAAAGAATGATTCAAGGGCTGAGATTGTTCCCTCCCATTTGAAGTATATGCAAAATATTTCTGTATTTGCTTAGAGCAAGAATATTCAGGGAATACTGAATATTTCTGGTAAAAGGAAATTCTTTCCAAAATAAGGGAAACTTTTTCTTTAATCAGCATTAAAACTACTTCACATGGAAACCACGAGCTGGAAATCCATGTGATACAGAAACAGCTTATTCTGTCTGTTTTTTTACAAATAACTCAAGGTGGCAAATATACTTAATACTCCTTCCTCCTCCTATTTTCCCTCCCACAATAACCCTGTGAGATAGATTGGGCTAAGACAAGGTGACTGGCCCAAAGTCACTCATCTCCCTTTCATGGCTAAGGTGGAATTTGATTTGGAAGAGTCAATATATTACCCCCAACAATCTCTGTACTTATTTTACCAACCTCGGAAGGATGTAAGGTTGAGTCAACCTTGACCCAGTGAGAATTGAATTGCTGGCAATCAGCAGAATTAGCTTGGGCAAAGTGGGGAATCTTTTGAGTTCCCCAAAGCAATCTTTCTGG